GAGAGAGAGAGAGAGAGAGAGAGAGAGAGAGAGAGAGAGAGAGAGAGAGAGAGAGAGAGAGAGAGAGAGAGAGATGTGCTCCCAGAGGCAGTCAAAAGGAGGAGAGGTGGTGCTTTGGAAACAGAGTCGCCCTACTCGTACGGTGGGAATAACGAAAAAAGGCGGGCAGAATGAATCAATGATTGATCCCCGCATTTAGAATGAGTGTGTTTAAAAGCAAGAAGGAATTTTTTTTTTTTTTTTTGAGCGTAGTAAAAAATTGCAGCTGTCCCCTATATATGAGGTGAAGGCAGCTTGCATTTTTTCTTTATATATTAAAAAAACATAAAACTTGCATTTTTAAGAATGAGAGGTCCCACTGGTTATTAGTGGTTAAGGCGATCATGCCATTTAAAAAAAAAAAGAAAAGAATAGTGGTTCGAGCATTTATACTGCCGTGGCTCGGGCAATTTACCGCAGTTAACCGCAATGCCACCTATTACTCTAACTGCAGTTACAAAACGTGGTTCGCGCAATTTAACTGCAGCGGTAATAAATTAATAATGCCGTGGCTCGCGCGGCTATAATACGCGGTTGATTCCCCCTTTTAAAATAAAAAAATTACGTGGCTGGGGGCCAAACTTGGGGCAATTTAACCCGCGTTATAATGCCGTGGCAGCTTGCAAGTGCGATTTAACCGCAGTGAAATTGAGTGAATCTGAGTGATAGTAAATGGCTCGTGCGGTCCCCGACCAGCCGTTATCGCCCACCTGCAGCCTGAGGTCGCCGCGCATGTACTCTCGTCGGTCTTGTGAACACTGTTCTGGCTGCGACGGGGCTCCCAGTATGCCTATAATTAATTAGGAGTAGTGGTAGGTAGGTAGTGTGAGGGCGGAATTGAGAGAAGAACATAGCTTCCCAAAAAAAAAAAAAAAAAAAGAAAGAAAGAAAGTGGGTTGGGTATTTAAACTCGGTGGTTCGTACTCTGCATAGCTGTCATAACAGAAGCTCGGTCGAATTGTTATTATTATAATAACTTTAATAAGCATGGCATATCATTGCTCATGATTCTGGAGTAACTGATCAGTATTAAGGATGATCTGGAATTAGATGGGACATGTCACCTGGAGATATATGTCGGGAATGTCGACCTTTTCCCAAAAAAAAAAAAAAAAAAAAAAAAAAAGGACAGTGGTTCGGTCATAGTAATAAAATGAATGGGAAAGGGGAAAAAAGGAAAAAAAAAAAAAAAAAAAGAGTGGACTGGAATTTGCTAAGGTTCGGGCATAAAGTAAGAGGCTCGGGGGAGTCGGGGCCCCAAGTCCCACTAGCAGCGTTGAGTTTCCTTGACGCCTGAATCTGGACGTGTTTGAGGAGATGTGCAGAAATGGCGTTGAGTTTCAGGCGCTGAGGAATCTCAGCGTTGCTAGTGGGACTTGGCCAGGGGGCATGTCTAGATTCAGGCGCTGAGGAATCTCAGCGTTGCTAGTGGGACTTGGCCACGGGGGCATATCTAGAAATGAGTGGTCCGAAGATG